TCATAACTGTTATATATTATTATATCTTGTAGAGGTTGCAGGCTCAAAATGAGTGCGCTATAAAAACGCACAGCGCAACTGATGCGTACCATCTGAGACGAGGTTTGATGAAGGAAAACTTAGCCATGAATGACAGGTTATATTTTAATGACACCCTCCCAATTGATGAGGAAAATTTGTTTAAAAGATTCCTGTGTTGGTTCGAGGTTGATAATTTTGAATACTTACATTGTTGGGAGATGAACATACGAGTATAACATAACAACGGAACTATTACTACGTACTGATACATACTTAAATTTGACTTTGACATAAGTAGTTAAAATACTATAGAAATAATATTTTATATTTTTTAATTATATATTACAAAATTCTTATTTCATAATCTTTTACACCTTATATACTTGAATTTAACTATAGTCAATGTCACGTCAAATTAATAGTAAAATATGTAAAATTATGACAAATGGTTATTTTTTCTCTAGTATTTTAGCTATAGTCAAGTTAAACTATGTTTCAAACAGCGCGGCCTTAGCCTTTGCTGTTCGTTCGTTTATCAACTGGCTGTACTAATAGGTTGGCAAAAAAGTCTTTTCGCATTATAGTATGTATGAACTTGTAATAAAATCTCTTTGACTATACCAATTGTATCTGGCTGGTCTTGGTATCATTAAAAAGTTTAAATTTTAAAGAAAATAATTCCGAATTCAAATTAGAAAAATGTGTGATTCATATTTGTTTTTCTTATTGTCAAGATGAGTGAATCTAATTAAAATTCGATAAATTTTACTACAAAAAATTTAAAAAAGAAACACAAGCCGCAAAAAATAGCGATCTTTATGTACCTAGTGCTGTGGCTGTCAGAGTAGCACAAATTTTAGTGTAAGCGTTTTCATTCCAGAAATTTTGATGCCAAAGATGCACGTCGCTCTGGTTGCCCTGTCACGGATAAAATGGATACCAATTTTGAAAAATGTTTAAATAATCAATAGTTAAGACGTAGCTGAGGAACTAAGAATTGACCACAAAATAGTTTTGGCACATTTGAAAAAAGTTAGGTACACAAAAAAGCTCGATATTTGGGTGCCTCACGAGCACACTGAAAGAAACTTTGGGAACCGTGTACTCATTTGTGATTCTTTAATACGACATAATGAAACCGAAAAGTTTTTGAAGAAGCTGATAACTGGTGATGAAAATTGGATCACGTACGACAAGAACGTGCGAAGAAGGTCGTGGTCATAGGCCGATCAGGCGGCAGACTCTGGCGAATTGGTTTTTCCATTTTCAATAATATACCGACTAATCATACAAAATAAAATTAAGGGTTTCATCTACTCTTTAAATCAATCGAGTAGCATAAAATCTTGCACATGTAAATCTCATATAATGGTTTGGATGGAACCCTTCCTATAGGAGTCCAAATTCGCACATGACTGTTTTTTGTGTTTAAGTATTTCGTCATGCACAGCAATAATAATAAATCATTGTAAAATAATGGAAACAAAACAACTGACAATGTACCAGTATAAATTATGAAGAATACCTACGACCATGCAGTTCTTTTTTAAACCACTTTTGTATGCTACCGTGAGTATTTCTTGGGCAGCAAGGCAGCGCACCCACAGGCAGTTACAATTACAACTGCCTGTGGGTGCGCTGCCTTGTCATTATACGTGTTATATCTACAGATAACGAACAATTAAGTCAGTTGTTTTCTCATTATTTTTAATTAATGATCAGGCATGCATTGTTTTCCAAATGGATGGAATAGGGAAAACGACCCCTGAGATGACCCATTACGCGAGCTCAGTGTGGATTAGTAAAAACCGGAACAACTGCTCCACTTTTTCAAAAGGTCTCGTGATTTCGAAACAATTTTTTGAATGTGAAATTTTTTTATGCATACTTATGTCTAAGCCAGGGGACGAGAGTTAGGGCACTTACCAAATTAGTTACGACTACTTACGACAACTAGTGTCGTAGCTAAACAATTAATTCAAGAAACTAAGCTTATTTTACCTACATATTTTTTATTGTAGTTTGTACAATGTGTGATTCTAGATAAATTTAATTTTAAGTCTGTGATTTTAATTTTAAGCATCAACAGTAAATGAGAAAATAGATTCATTCCATTTCCGCCAATTTACGGAAACATTGTTCTTTTTTTAAACTCTTAAAAAGAAAATTCACATTGTTACGTTCCTACGTGCATGAAGTTTATATACTTACCTTAAACGACTTTGTAATTTAAATAAGTGTTAACCAAAAGACCTCTGTAGAGATCGATAATGTACATTATCGTCCAGCTATTAATTGTTGTTGTGTTATTGTTATTTGTGTTTAAAAAACCGGATAATCATTAATTATTTAGCGACACGCAAAAAGAACCAAAGTTGCCGACTTTTAACGGGTCATTATATTTTTAAACATTTAACTGCTGCATTTATTAAAGGAAAATATTTATTTAATTCTCAAAAAAAAATGGAAATTATCACCTGAAAAGACCGAATACCTAAAGGTGAGGTTAGGTTACCTATTGTAAATAGGAATTTTTACCTTAATGTAGATAAATAACAATGATTACAATTTATACATTCTTGACAAATCGTTCATGCACATCACATCAAGCCCCGATTTATAGGTGGAAATCAAAAAGGCAGTACAGTTATGGACCCGTCCAAATTTTGTTGTTTTTTTTCGTCCAGCCCGCCCTGCCTTACGTCCGGCCCTGGTGGTGACTTCTGAGGCGTGATTTTCCCGAATTTTCTCATTGGGAAGTCAAACGATACTCAAGTCAGTTATAAAGCCCACATGATATTGGTATCATAATTATTGTAATGTTATGGGAAATGTGCGTTTTATTGATAGAATATATACTGCATAAATAAACAATGGATTTATAGTTAGGTTTTCTCTCAGATTCAGAGTCAACGTAAAATGTATTATATAAAGGCGCCTGCTACAGAGTATAAAATAAACATTTTCTTACAACTTTGCTCAATGTTTTCTGAAAGCAAATTCGTAATGAACACGAAGTCAACTAGCTAGCTTTGACTGTATAACTATAACAATGTGCACACAGAAATATTAAATAGATTTCTGTGTATGTTCATGATACGTATTGTCCCTTATAATAATATTATCTTCATCAACATCAGTCTATTAATGACCCCAATTCTGGGGCACAGGCCTACCCTATGGATGGAATAGGGAGTTTGGGCCATGACCCACCACGCGAGCCCAGTGCGGATTGGTGGGTGCTAACGACTGCAGATTCGGCGGGACCAAAGGCTTAACTTGCCTTCCGAAGCACGAAGGAGCTCGAGATAGTAAATTTTTGGTCACCCATGCAATGACCGGCCAATGCGAGAGTTGCTTAACTTCAACGATCTCAACCGGACGAGTCAACCACTTGCGCCATTGAGCTGCTCATTTATTATCTTAGTACACAGCAATCACAATATTTACGTAAAAAATATATTACCCATACGTAGGCATGGGTTTACAATTATAGCATAATAAATATTTTAACACACACAACAATTGTGTTGCGTAACATCAAACTCAGGTAAATCCACTAATCATTTTGTTGTGAGATTTTGATATGTCCAAAAAGTAAAAAAAAATTGAAGCTATTTGAACAAAAGTAAATACTACGAATCGTTTTTTTCGATTGGAGATAAATCCTTCAGAACCAATGAGGGAGCTGTATAATTCAACATGGCCGTCAGTTTGTCATTTTCTTGTCGAGTGAATGTTAGTGCGTCTCTAGAATTTCTTAATTTATTAAAGCTATCAGTAAACTCAATGGATAACTCTTTGAAAATTGTGTCGCCAAGTAAGGCTGGCCCGTAAACGATCCAACAAAAAGATTAAAAAAAAGGAAACAAGAAAGCGAGAAAACTGTAAGTATTATAAATACCTTTATGTTTCACATTGGATTGTATAATGCGATTCAAATAAGAATAGGAAAGCCAATGACCTCCATCTGTCAAACGACGCTTGAAAAATACGGATTGCAAAAAATCTTAGAACTCTTTTTTAGCACTCAGCTAATTCTAGAATAAAAAAAACAAACATTTGTAAACAAACATCACGACGATGACAACTCCGGTAGTTATGCAGAGCTGAGCGGAATTGAAGAGCTAGATTCCGATTAATATTTTTACTCACACAGTCTTAAATTATTATTATTAAATCGGTGTTTTTTTTCTCAATCTTAGTAAATAAATTTTATTAATAAAACCTGATGTTTTTTCTCACTTAATCTTAGTAAATAAGTTTTATCGAAGAAAAACTTTTATTGCTCACTCTACCTACTTTGTTTCAATTGACAGCTTTGACATCACAAAATGGCGCCCAGTCGATCCTATTCTTAGTTGAATCGCATTAAAATAACGACAACAATATTTTTTCCCGCGTGTCCTTTTTTTTAATAAACAGCTTTCTTATTGCAAGCCACTTCGAAATTTAAATAAATGGTGCTCGCATGTATTTGGACAGTACAGCAATTTCAATTTATCTCGAAGAAGGTTGTCAAAGTAATGCTCAAATTTTCAAGCATGTTTGAAAATAATATAATCAACACCTCCGTTGAGCTTTATGTCTATCTTCTTTTAAATAAAATATACACGATTTTAAATATCTTTAGACTAGCTTTCCATTTATTTTCAGCATTTCAGGAGTCATTTTTCAAAAGAGTTTAAATTATTTTCATTTTGTGTTTTCTTCTTAAAAGAAAGTGCGTAATAATTCTGTCTCAATAGGGTAGACACAATTATTACGCACTTTGACGTAGTGATTTTTATTTTACAGTGCAACAAGGATTTTACGTATGTGAGTGACAGTTCAGGAAGGGCGCCACAGTCTACGTAAATGACCATAAATGACATACGAAATATGACGTTTACAAAGACGGCGGCATTAGTTCCAATTTTCGTCACATTCGTAAAGACCCTTGTCGCACTATATAATAATTTTGTAATGTGTAATAGAAAAGAATTGAATTTAAATTAGAAACAAGGAAAATGTTTACGTATACATATTTTTTATTATATCACATAATAGGCATAGGATTAACAGTCGACATACAAATAATGTGAGTTTACAATTATGACATATCTTAAGTATTATTCAAAAAAGTCTTCTACTTCATATATATAGTCAAAATACTCGTAGATACTTATATTGGTAAGTAATGAGGAAAAGTATACCTATAACTAATAAAAGATATTTGATTGGCTAGATACCTCATAATCATAACAGTTTTATGACTTAGGTTCCTAGAACAAATATTTTCTTACTTTTTTGTTTATTAACGTTTTATTATTTTTAAATTTATATTTGTACCCTATGGTAATTGAATCCGACTCTCAGCTACCATGAGGAAAGTAAGCATCTTAATGATTTTATAGTCTTTCATTTATAAAAGACACAGTGAAATTAAACTTTTGTATGATTTTTAAGCACAGCTTTTTTATTGATCCATATAAACATATAGGTAATGTTATCCATAGGTGAAATAAACATAGGTAATAATAAAGATTTAAATCATGTTTTAATCAAATAGGTACTACATTAATAGTAATCACTTATTACAAGAGGAACATAGTCATCTTATTAACACATGCTTTGGTATATACTTTACTATTATTATTTTAACTAAAATCACTCATGTTAAATTATTGCTTTTATCAAATGGAATGATAGATCGGAAATCTTAAATTATAAGTAGGTATTATTATGTTATCTAAGTCTGAAATATAAATGCATTTGAATTAGATCTAAAATAGGTATAGGTATGTACAGCAAATACACCGGGTCACTTGCTACTTCGGAATTTGATTATAAAATTCACTGTCAGTAGATTTCGTTTTGATAATTGATGTAGGTATGTTAGTTTTATATTTTTTGAGAAAATCGAATCAGATATCCAAGTTGTAGCGGGTGACTCGGTTTATTTGCTGTAGAGTGTAGTATATACCTATAGCACGGTAATATGATATTATTACCGTGCCTATAGCTTCTTTTCAAGCTCAGTCATTCTTCGTTTGTTTGCATTACAGATTAATTGTCAAAAATATAGTAAAATGAATGAATAAAGTTGTTTTGTTTTTGTTTTAGCTTTCAAAACTTAAGTATTTGTTTGTTTCTTATAAAAATAATTTGCATCTATGATATGCAAAATTTCACAGCACAGCATACAATATTGTCGTTAAAGTAGGTATATAATAAACCTTATCTTACAATGAGCTGAGTACACACAGAGCAGAAGAGCAATGAAATAATCTGATCTCGGTCATGTAAATCTGAATGCATTAGACAAGATCTATACATTTCGCGATTTAAAATAATGTAAAAAATTGAGTAAAATTTACCTTAATGCAAAATGGACAGTGTTAGTTTCGAAGTTACCGTAGTTTTTTAAACGGTATTACACACGTTATTCAAAATTACATTATTTTTTTTTACAATTCAACGTTGGATTAAGTCGCGGAAAAAGTACCATGTCCAAAGTAGGCACCTACATATTTCATCCTTTTAGATTGATACACTAACCATCTCTTAAGGAAATGTTATATCTAGACTTAGTCGCGTATTATAATGAAATCTCAACGATATCGTTGTGAAATCTACTATCATTCTTTTTCCAGGCATAGATACAATTACATAGACACTCGCAAATGTCCTTATTTTTATCTTATATCAATAATTATAAATTGTCAAACAATTCATTGTAATTAATGCACCGATCTAGTGGACATAATATGTGCATGGTATGATGATAAAAATATCAAATTTTGGAATTCGGATTTTAACTAAACATTAACTATCTTATCTGCCCGATTTACTTGAGCTACGGGGCTGCAATTGCAAAAATAACGTTTTCAACACATTTGCTCAAAAAATGCATTTACAGAGGTTGAACTTTGTTCGAAAATTATGGGCCGTTGACCAACGGAGCGTGCGGAAAGCATTTTACCAACCCGCTCCCATATATGGCGCCGTGCGTATCCTTTACGGTTTTTTTTATTTCGATCGAACCTCCTTGGAATTGATTTTTAATGTATGAGTTTTATCATTTTAATACTAAAGAAATGAAAGACGTAATTTTAATTTTTACTATCTGCAGGTGGCGCCATGTAGAAATACGCGCCATTTTCTTAATCGAAAAATTTGCTTCATTGTTTAAATTAGGTAGTGCAATGTTTTCTCGCAAATGTTTTGAAAAACATTGTATGACAGTCGTGCTGAATTAGGTTTTACAAACTCGTGACTATGGTAAACCCTCGACTTCGTGTCCGGCTTACATTCGTCTACTCGTTTGTAACAACTAACTTACCGCACAAATATCATAAATATCTATAACAGCACCAGAATGATTATATTTTTGTATAGTTTGCAACAAATTAGCAGTCTCATTAACTATAATAAATTTTATATTAATGAAATGGTAGTAGAAATAGCCAGCAGTGTTTTCGTTTAACGCTGTGTAGTTTGTAGGTACGATTTTACAGTCTAAAAAATTTGCAGTCTAATTTACGTTAGTAAATTTTATATTAATGGAATGAATGAAATGGTAGTGCAATTAGCCAGCGCAGTTTAAGTTAAACGCTGTGTAATTTTGCTGGTAGTACGATTTTAATGTCATTGGGTATAGTACGGGATAAACTACAGTTCTTTGTGGCAATAGCCGCCATTATTCCACATAGCGACGAGGGCTAGTATCATGTATAAAGCAGTGAGTGCGTCGGTGCGCCTAGGTCAGTGCGTGGGCAGCGAGAGGCGTTCGCCCAGTGCTCGCGAACGCACGCGCGCCGCCACGCGCACGCGCATTGCGGCCACGCACGTCGCGAATGCGTGCGCCAGAAGGAGAATCACAGCGCACAATGCCACGAATCCGAACGCCGATCCTGGAAAAGGGAGAAGCAACTAAAAGAATGTTCGTCAGTTCTATTAGATTTATTTTGTAACTTTGTTTGGTGTCTTGATCAGTTTGATCAACCGACAATTTTGTATTCACTCTGCAGTGACTTGGATATAATATTAACGTGCTAACCTCTTATGCCATCGCCCGCTCCGTCCGTTGTCCCGCCCAACACATCATAATTACCATGATTCCAATTGAGAGGCGGGTACATTGCGGGAAGGCTGGTGCCCAAATACAAGGTGCAAGCACACGCACGGCGCGTATCGGATGCGCCGTCACTAGCAGCTCGTAGGTCAATGCACCAGCTAGTTATTCCATCTAACAGATATCAATTACCAGTATGGTTCCAGTTGAGAGGTGGGTAGATGGCGGGCAGGCCGAACCGGTCGGTTCCTCCGAGCGCCCAGTAAACAGCGCTGAAGACGCCATAGGCGACGCCTACGCCGACGCCGTACAGCGCATGCGCGGCGCGTATCGGATGCGTCGTCACCAGCAGCTCGCAGATCATCACTAACGAGTTCCCCCCGTGGACGAGTAAATTAAGTGCGTTTATGTCATGGATTTCTGAAAAATTAAAGATGTTTTTAGGTTTCTATTTCTTCATTCCTTCTCATTCTACGATTACCGTGCAGCATCTCAAGGAACAACAATGAAACTAACTGATGTTTGTTTGTCGCTCATTATAATGTTAGTGAACTACTACGCGTTTGCTTCGAGTTGGCCGCTCCCTCCATCCCCGCCTCACCGCAACGCGCTCCCAGACAGACCCTATTATTAGACCCTATTGGTACGGTACCAGTTGATGTGCCTGTGATTGAACTATGACACATTTTGTAACAGTCATCGACGGACAACTCGAAGCGAACGGGTAGTTCAAAGAAGTACTTTTGTATACCAATATTTCATCGGAAAAAAAAAATTTAAGCTTAGGTAACATGCTTATTACTCACTAGGATCATATACTACAGTCCAGTATATGAGTGTGATGACGAAAGCCAGGTCAGTGGCGATATTCTGGGAGAGCCAGTATGCTCGGTATAGTAATGGTGTGCGCGGTCGCCGAGGCATAAGGGCATCGTCATCTTCACAAGCTGAAACAATAAATTCAAAATATTGTTTTAGGTGTAAGTATATGTGATCAAAGTTCATGACCAATTGAAACTGATTACAACCTAGCTCTGGCTGGGCAACACATTTGCAAGAGCCTCTGGGCCGTCGTATTTCTAGATCAGAGGCGTATTTACCCTAGCTAGAGCCAAGAGGACCATGGCACGGGGCGGTAGGCTGCGAGGGGCGACTGAAAGAGCTTCGAGAGGCGGAAAAAGCCATGTAAAGGCATTCGTTACTGAACTATATTTTGCAAATTAAATCGTAAATAACCCGACGCGCGCCAGATTTCAAATATGCCCCTGGCCTAGAGCGTATTTGGCCATCAATTTGCATCCTAATGTAAGTAATGTCCATGGTGTGAATGCAGTGTCATGCAGTGATTACGTTGGATTGATATGTCAAAAACACACCTCTAAAAGGATTCGAAAGCTATGGCACAGTTTAAACATAAAAGTAAGATTGCATTAGTCGTAAATTCGCTCCAGTGGCCCCTACATCATATTTAAAATCAACGAGTTGGTGGAAGTATCGAGACACGTAGGTTTGCATTTCGTGGAATTCGGGGCCGTCGTCAATATAAATAAATTGGATTCCCGATGGGTATTGTCGTCGCGAAATGCGGGAATGGGGAGCCAATATAGCCATAATTAGAAGTCCGTCCAGTACGCTGTTCGTCTAATTGACGCGAAATTGTATCAATCGGCCCGTCTGACCCCGGGCATGATGACGACCCGAATTGAATACCGAACCTACCGATACGGGATGCAAATTGAATTCTTTTAATGTGACTGATGGATGTAATATTTCTTTCTTAACGCAAGACCGTTACCATAAAAATGTTGAACAAAATTGTTTACCTCTTACTGTCGTGGCGTGTCGTTTGTTCAGAGGTATAGACATAATAAAAAATCTGCAGTTGATTTAAATTTTACTTTTATTGGAATCTTCTGATACTAGACATATAATTAACATGGAGAATACTGGACATATACGTGCTCCAGATATACGAGTTGTATTAACGTACATTATTAAATCTCGGGGATTAAATATTGGGGATAAATCATGATTGATTTGTTATTGATTGACGATCATGTTAAAAATGTCGATGCTTTAATAAAGTTTTAGATGAATTTGACTTTGTAATGGAGCTTTATTCGACGATTGGTCACGGAAGGCAAGACATTGACAGCCACTTGATTGTAGTAAGTAGTTTTTCTATTATAAACATAAAAGCTTTGTAAGCTAAGCGCTCTTTACCTACTTGAAATTCAGAACTTTATCATCATTATTTAGGTATTAAACTACGGTTTCGTAGACGGCCGAAGGGAAAATCTTCTATAAGCGAAATACACCATGTAACTACCTATACTTATATTTTTTCAATTGATATTGAATTATATGCCAAAGTTAGGTACATAACCATTTGGACCAAATTAGTTATAGTAGAGTACCTACCTAAAGAGAACGGGTAAGTTCCTGTGGAAAATTTATAGAATAATATTTCATTAGCAATCAGCTCAACTAAAATGAACTGTGACGTCACAGAGACACTTAAAATAGGTATGAATTAAAAAAAACACGATGAAAAGTGAGTTTGATTTTACAGAATAAGCACTGCTAGCGTAAAGATGAATATAATAATATATGTAAATAGTAACGCATTTCAAGAGGTTCGTATGGATCATCTAATAATTAATATTTGCCAATTGAATGGCATGATATTGTGACAGAAGATCCGTGTAAGCAACGGGAGTAGTGGTCACAGCCACACGAGACAGCATGATTCAGTTAATTGATTCGCATGAAACACTCGTCAAGGAAACGTATCTAATAGGCGCACCCACGCGAGGATCTTGACATTGTACCGTACCGAATTATATAGACCACTGTAATGGCGAAAACGCACTGGCAATACTAAACTCAAGGTTTAAAATTTCGGACTTTGGTAAAATTTAAATTGTATTTTTTTGCAAGGTTGTAAAGATTTTTGTGCATGTATTGAACTCTGAACAACTGAATTCTAAGTTTGTTTCGAATGTGGAATCCTGAGCGTAGTGAGGGTTTCAAAAAGGTACGAGGCGCATATTAACTTTATCTACACTATTGAGCGAAACGCTTTTTTCATACTACAGCGAGGAAAAGGATAGGTGCAAAAAACAGCTCATAAAGAGGTTGGTTAACTCTCGGTGCACTCTCGAAATATATCACATGAGTGAAGAATCGTACGTTTCATTACTCATGTGCAATATAAGATATGAATTTCAAAATTCCTTCTACCTATAAAATATACGAAATAAAAATATATGAATTTCAAAATTCTTTCTACCTTTCCACCTGCATGTTCGTTTACTCGTGCTTCCACCCAAAAAAAAGCAAAAAGTGACTACTATATTTCAGATTATGAATGACAAACAAAATCTTTGCGAGCTCGTGAGGTGAAAAGAATATTAGGAACCTGTTTAACAGTTTTTCATTGAAAATAAATGTAAAATATCAGGGAAATTCTATAACTTTCTTTAACTTGATATGACCTAAATCGTCGAAAAAAGTAAGATTAAGTACCTATTCAAAAGATGTCTGAAAGCTACGACACCGTTTTCTAAACTTAAGAGTAGACTGATGGGCCTACCAAAAGAAAACCGACAAGAAAACTCAGCAACGAAAGTCTTTTCTCACTGTTTTATTTCACACAGATTCGTCAAATTGATAAATGATCTTAAAATTGGGAACAAGAAGGCACTTTCTCTTTTCATGGTTATGTTTTCTGTTAATTATTTGTTTCAAGAGTTGTCCTCATATCCTACACTTTACGATGGAGTAAATTCAGTTCGTAATTGCATGCACCACATTGATTAAAAGCGATGCACAAATATTATTTATAAAAAGTAAAATTGATTCTTATCCATTCAACCGTGAAACTAAAGCATAACCGAATAAAAATACGCCTATGAGTAAAAAAAAATATTTTATTGCCGACAGTGTAAAAAAAATTACAGCAAAGAAAGTTGTGGTAAATCTTTGAACGCTATAAATGATTTGCATTAGAGAGACACAAACATGACAGAGGATAATTTATAATAAATGAACTGACAAAAGGCGCCTTACTTTCTAAAGAATGACCTTAACAGTATAATAGGTCTTTACATATGAAATTGCCGTTCTGGCGTACTGGCTTGACTACTGAAAAAAAAGACTTGAAATAAGTCTATATTTTCATGTTTCGTTAAGAATTCTAAGTTCAAATTATTTTTATTTTTTAAACATGGAATTCTTTTTTGAAAATTAGTCATTTATTTAATTGTTAGCGCTCTGTTCTTCGCGCATCTGTACGTTTGTCTTAATCATGGATACGTTAAAATTATAGTAATTATGGAGTATGAATTGTCGTGGCGGCAAAGCGGCAGAAACGGCACGCAACATCAACGACGTATACGGAGCGAGCACTGCTAACGATCGCACCACCCATTACTGGTATGCCCGCTTTCGTTCTGGAAACTTTGGCCTAAGAAATGAACCACGACGTCAAACTTTAGTCGGCAATGACGAATTAAAAGCGATTGTGGAAGCAGATGATTCTCAATCTACATATAAATTAGCAGCACCTTTCGATGTTAGCATCAAAAAAATATTGGTCCATATGCGTCAAATTGGCAAGGTAAAAAAGTTATGTTTTTATTTTTTTTAAGCATTTAATTGCTAGATGTTTAAATCTAAAGAAAAGTTTTACTAGAAAAACATCCACGCGGACCAGGCAGCGGACGGGACTCGAACCCGCACCCTTCGCAATCCGGGCGAATGCACTGACCAATTATGCTACCACGGCCCTGATGGCCGCGTTGTTGTTATAGAATAATAAAATTACGGCATAGGACTATCGACTACTAAGACGTATTAGAAATAATCTTCCGCGTACATTATTTAATACACTAAACTTTTTTAAATATTAAAAGGATGACAAACAATCATATGGCCTGCTTGGTGGTAAACCATAGCCTACAGACGTTTGTGTTACAAAAAATATCACTCGTGCCGTTGTAGCCTACGCTGAATCAATCCCCTCCCCGTAGAGTCGGTGAGGTAGTGTTATTTTACTGTAGTCTTCTGTACGGTGGAGGTTACTTCCCCAGACGGGCGCTCCAGTTCGAGGGGAAAATCCCCTATGGCCTAACTCTCTTATATTTTACATGAAAAATTATATTTTCATTTAAATCTTCGAATTTCCGTGTCCGATGTAGCCAGTGAAGCTTTTTCGGAGGGGCAAATTCAGAGGTAATGTTTAGTGAGTCGAAAATCCTTTTACATCCGACTTAACTACTCCACAGTACAAACGGATAACCAATTATCCATTATAAACATTACCTCCGTAAAAGCTTCACTGGCTACATCGGGCACGCAAAGGTAACCTTTTAGGTTCGGCCCTAAAAGGGCACCTTTGCAAATTTGCAATGAGCATTTACCAACCCTTTCCCCTGCACATTCCCATGGGAGATGTAACAGGTATAACAGTGAGAGTCTTATGTTTGTTTTATTCCTGTCTGTATGCACTAACAGTTATAAGTTCTTCTCCCGGTGGCATATATTTGTGTGATGAGCACAAATATAAGTACCGACCGGAGTCATAGTTGTTTATAAGGAGAGCGGGGCTGATTTTGATAGATTGCAAGAAAAATTGGTAACTACGAATGCTGCGGTTAATAGTTTAGGCTATCTTCGGTAAAATGTAATCTAGATTTTTAATTTATTTTTTTATTATTTTTTACTAGTTTTTGTATTTTTTAATAGTATTTTATAAAAAAATAAACATATTTATAAACCGAGGTCGAAAGGCACAACTGACAGCTCACAGAGAGGCTGAGATGTGCCGCAGCTGGGGTCGGTTGTGCCATAGGTTAGTTTTTAACAAAAACATACTACTTCATTTTCATATAAATGAGACTAAGTTCTTTGAAATAACCCATTACATGTATGATACTAGAATAAATCATAATTCCTCCCAATACCTAGGTGGCTGATTTTAGAAAGATGATTTATCTGTAATAAATAATCCCTCAAATTACTCTTTACAATTAACTTAAAAGAAAGCCAAAAATAGTACTACTTTTCAGGCGACTAATTAAAATAGCAATTAGGATACAAAATGCTAACCTATCTTCATCACTGCACAATTCACACTGCATTTATTGCATTTTTCTCGGGCGCAGAGTTAGAGTAAGAGTTATAGCATAGGATGCAGAATGAAGTTCTTATTAGAGAACTTATGAGCTCAACTGCTTGAAAATAATAGCGAGCGAACGAAAAAAGGTTCTGAAATGTATTGTGTGTGTATGGTTGTTATTATTGTTAAAAGATACTTGGGAGTTGATTGTGCCGCGGAACAACTCCAAATGAACGGCAATTTTGGCCCATTTCAATAACCTTACCTTTAACCATTATGTCAAAAAAACCTTCTGAACAAAGTGTTGAAATAGTACAGATTTCTATCTGTAGATGAATTAAAAATACATAAGTGAAACTCCCATATACGTAATACTTAAAAATGAATGAAGCAAAAATATTTACTAATGTGGTGTGGAAGCATCACCACATACTCTGTCACTAGGTCCGATTCTCCGGCGCAAATCTAAAAAAGTCGTAATGTATGCAATGCACGTGTGGGATTGTTAGTAAGTACAGGAGTTATAATTTTTTTTATTGCATTTTAAGTAATAAAATCAAACGCCTCCCTAATTTTTATAAAAAAAATACGCGTAAACTTGCATTGTCAATAATTCGACAATCATAAAACTAGAGACAATGTTTGAATTTTTTTTTGTAATTTTATGTTAAGCGATATAAACCTCCAAGTTGGTTTGAACATAATAGTTTTTTAATAATTGTTGATTCCACGGAGCCTAAGGCTCCCATATAAAATTGCGACGCAATACGATTTCGTGCGGCAAAGTTTTGGTTAAGGTGCCAAATCTTCAACGGTAGTCAGCCGTATTGGACGTGTTTAAGTAATAGTGACACTGCTGCCTGTTATTTCGTTATTTCTCATTAATACCATAAGAAAGTTATTTATTTTCGAAATCAATTCTGAGGTTATCGTACTTTAAATAAATTAGAATTGATATCGTGAACTTTTAAGCAGTTCGTCGCCGTGGCAACCATTACTTTGTAACACTTCAAGCAATCGATTTCTTGAACCATGCTACAATGTAGGTAATAAATAGTTCTCGCTAAGAGCGCTTTCAGACTAGCATTTTTTTCTGCGCGTATACGGTCGTTTCGGCATACGCGCTTACACGCGCGCTATGTAACGCTCTTAAAAAAATCGGACTCGCATACACTTGGATATTTCAGCGTGTTCGTTCGAACCGGTTGTGGTGTCTCACGCGCCTCGCGGTTATAAGAGCATACAAGCGAGTCAAAAGCTGCGCCTATACGCGCTTATATGCGCTTCCAAAATCGAGTTTATAGTAAAACACTAGTCTGAAGCCAATAATGCATAAGAAAGTTATTTATTTTTTACAATCTATTCTAAAGTTCTTTAAATAGAATAATGCCGTTAACCTTTAAGCAGCTCGTCGCCGTGGCAACTATTACTTTGTAACACTTCAAGCAATCGATTTCTTAAACCGTGCTACAAGATAGGTAGTCCGGATGTGTAATATGATTTGACAGCAGATGGCAATTGGCATTGTGACGGTTTGAATCCAAACGTTCCATTCACGTATCATCGCAAGCCCATTGTGTGCAACTGCGTATGGTAGGATGTGGCGGTCTTTGTGCAGATATTTCACTGGATTCAAAAGATTGATAGCATAGTTAAAGAACTAGGTCAACCATAACTTTTCTATTATTTACAGGATTTCAATAAAGTGCTGTATCCTGCTATATGTTAGATTATTTAATTTTTTAATTAACTTTGAATAATGTGTTTGTGAAAAAGAAATATATTGGCTGTTGTTGTAATGTCTCGTTTAATTTTATATGGGAAATTTAAATATTTTCTTTAAAATAAGTAGTTAATTTTTCTTTAACATTATTTCTTGTCGGGTTAGCTCTGGCTAAAAAACGAAGGAAACCTTGAAGATCTAACAGGATATCCGTTGCATGTGAATAAAAGTTCTAATTCATAGTATTCTTAAGTATGAATAGTAATACTGACGAGACAGTGTGGCGGCATTGACCCAAGCCTGGTGTTGTTGTCATATGGGATAATGCGACCAACAGTGTACTCCAAAAACAAAAATCCTATTTCTTTCTCCATAGATTCTAGTCAGTGTTGTTTTAATACTTGCACGTATATCACTGCCTGCGGGTAAAAATAGTATAAAGCACAAACAGCTGCATTTCTTAAAATTTAATATCTCGAGCATTCGCATTCTTCGGACGGCATTCAAATCCATTCCTTGGAGTTCTTAGCATGGAGGCTGGCGCGGCGGACTATGATTACTCCCCATATGAATTGTAGTCCAACGAAGTTGTAAAAATAAACTCTTTTGAATTATGTTAGTAGTTATGTTTTACTTACGGTTGTTAAAAGTCTTCTGAGATCTATACGAGTGCACGACAGCGAGCGCGAGGAGTGCTTGCAGTGCTATGAGCATGAACCCCCAGTTGGTGAAGTATATAAACCACTTGAAGTAGTTTAGCTCTACCTTGGGGCCGTCGTACCGCGGCGGGAGCCGTTGGCACGCGAAACTTGCTATCCCCGTTGATAATACTGTGATAAATACCAGCCATCTGCAAGGAAATTAAAGTAAACTTACTTTTCTACTGGCTAATTTACGAGCGAGCTTCGCACACGAGGGGTTCCTCAACATCGCACTAGAGTTCAACACTTGAAGTACAATAACGTAAAGTAAAAACTTAAGTTTTTAAAGAAATATAGAGAACGCTCTTTATAATATTAATATTTCATTTAATTAATGAAACTATATTCCCTCGGCACAAGGAGATCGATGGCGCGGGTGGTCAAAACTCGGAACGGTCGGTCTGCAATCGTGCAAGTTAAGGTTTCGCAATGCTTGGTAGTGCATACTTCGCATGCATACTTCGCAGTGCTTACGATGGGACGTTTAGCTATTGGCACCGGCTGCATCTGCAGTCATTAGTACTCACCAATCTGCACTGGGCCCTCGTGTTGAGTCATGACCCAATCTCCTTAGGTGAAGATATCCTAGCAGTAGGGAAATTTGTAGGTTGATGAATATGATTTTTATATTTACCTGTAGGTAGGGGATTAGGGGTCGCAAACCGGGATACCGAATTTCGAAAATACCGGAATACCGGGTCAAATTTAGGTCTAATTTATACCGGTATTCATTTCACAAAAACCGGGATATTCGGTATATTCGGTTTTAGTAAAATAAATAAATTACAAATACAAATAGAAAAAGTTACTTGCCATTTAATTCAAAATACGCGCGCGCGCGAGTTCGTTCACCTTAAGACAAGACGAACTTCCCGCTCTCTGTCCCGCGCAATGATTAGCGAACGAGCCAATGTCGTGGCGCGAAAGGTGCAAGTGAGTAAGTTTAACTCACTTCCCAGGCTGTAACACTAAAGACAACCAAGAATGGGATGATGAGATATCCGCGGTTCCGGATTTAGCTGACTGGACAACTGCACGCAAATCATTAAACTCAACAAATTAACTTGGGCCATCAAAAGCTTCCTCCCTTTTAAAGCAGCTGGACTGGATGGCATCTTTCCGGGCCTACTGCAATGGTGCGAAGAATCGATACTCGATCATGTACTGCGAATTTACACAGGATATCTTGCCTATTGGTACATACCTACTAAGTGAAGAGAGGTTAAAGTTATATTCATACCTAAACCAGGCAAAAGTGACTTCACGCAACCTAAAGCATTCAGACCGATAAGTCTCACATCATTCCTCCTAAAGGTGCTGGAGAGAATGTGTGACAGGAACTTGAGAGATGATGCTCTAAAGCGTGTACCACTTCATGCAATTCAACACGCCTACAGCATGGGCAAATCCACCGAATCCGCATTACACAACGTAGTCAGACATAGTAGTAGTCCGAATAGAACATGGATTATCACCAAAACAATCAACGCTCGGAGTCTTCATCGACATTGAAGGCGCCTTTGATAAAACAAACTTTACCAGCATCAGCCAAGCACTTGTCAGACATGGAGTTGACCCCACGACTGCGGGGTGGATCAATAATATGCTAAAATACAGAGCAATACAAGTGACTGTGAACACCACGAAGAGAGCTGTAGTGGCACGGGGTTGCCCACTCTCCTCTCCCGTGGAACATTGTGGTTAACGAATTAATTTGCCAACTCAATCAACGCAACTACTACACAGTTGGCTATGCGGACGTCCTAGTTATCCTCATAAGCGGGCCATTCCAGAATGTGCTGTGCAACTTAATAAGTAACGCTCTCAAGATAGTCGAAGCCTGGTGTACTAAACCTGGTGTAAACTAAAACAGAGATGGTAATGTTCACGAAAAAATGTATCTTGGATACGGTTAAATTGCCCAAGTTATTTAATACCGAACTGTCTATGTCAAGCGGGGTCAAATATCTAGGCATAGTTCTTGATCATAAGCTAACATAGAACAGCCACTTAGACCAAAAGATAAACAAAGCCTGTATCACATTTTGGCAATGCAAAATTCTACTTAGTATAACCTGAGGTCTTGCACCAAAAATCACAAAATGGCTTTACACAACCATAATCAGACCACTCATCACCTACAGTGCAATAGTTTGGTGGCCTAGAATCGAACTCAACACCGCAATTAATAAACTTCAGCGTTTTCAAAGACTAGCATGCTCTGTTATAACAGGCTGCATAAAAATCCACACGCACAAATGCCCTAGAAATAGCGCTTGACCTCCCGCCTGTTTATACAACTACGGCAGCGCTAAGAATGTATCATCTGGGCTTGTGGACGGGAAACCAGGGACCTCACTCCAAAATTTTGGAAAGGGCTATACAATACCAACCTCTGGTAACAGCTCGCTGTGATGAAATCTCGACTACTCTTACATTTGATAGAAGATATCAAATAGAACTACTAGAAACCAACAAGGACTGGTCGGGCACAGACGAACTACGTATTTACACTGATGCATCCAAAATACCAGGATTCGGATCAGGCGCAGGAGTCTTTTCACTGGACCTTAACATTCATATATCAACAGCACTGGGTAATCACAGCTCAATATTCCAATGGGAATGTATAGCCATTAATCAGGCCGCCACCGCTGTTATGTATAGGAAAGTCAAAAACTACAAGATACGTATATTATCTAATAGTATGACTGTCCTAAGAGCCCTAGATAGCAACAGCAAAACTTCTGGGCTATTATACGAATGTCACCTAGCATTGGAGTACATAGCAACGGATAACAAGGTTATCCTCCAATGGATCAAGGGACATAGCGGTTCTGTGGGTAATGACGCAGCCGACGAACTAGCTAGAAGGGGATCATCACAGAGAGTGGAAGGCCCTGCGCCACTTATCTTTCAATCAGTTCCGTACATGGGTGCGGCAACGAACCATACGCGTTACAGATAGTTCTCTGTGCAGAGGATGTCTGAAAGCAGATTAAACGACCGCTCATGTGATCCTGGAATGCATGAGCGTTGCAGAATACCGGGCATCAATCCTCAGGAAGCCGAGGACGCTCCTAGAAGCCTGGGAGAGCCCCAGGAGGCTACTGCGCTTCTGGAAGGAGCTGGCCTGGCTGAGCTAGCTAGCTCAACATACCCTGCACGCACAATGGGCCAAGGACGGAGTATATGTGCGGAAACGGGGGCCCACAACAAGTAACAAGTAGAATGAGTTTAAGTTGGTTGCGTTGCGACTGAAAAGTGTAAAATTTTCTATTTCAACTGTTTACATTTCGTCATCGTCATTCGTCATTGCGTGTTTTGTTGGTGTTGTGGTTTGTTTTTGTTATCCACACCCGGAATTTAGAAAGAAACAGTCAAATTGGTAAGTAAATGATTTTAAATTATTATATTGCATGTCGTGAAAGTATGGGTGTTTTAATATTTTTGAAAAGAGCTGTTTGTGGAGAGAGAAATAAGTGCAAATATTTTTCTAATTTGTATTGTACGTATTGAACTGCAAATAGCTAAGATAGAAATTACGATATAAGTAAATGTTTAATTAATGGTTTCTACCGCAATTGTTTTCGACTTATTTTTATAGCTTTGCCCTTTGATTGACAATAATTGTGTGGCATTTAGTATTAGTAAATTATTGCAAAGGACTAACTGATTGATTACCAACATATCAAACAATAAACCTTGAGTCAATGAGTATTTCGTTTTATTTAGAAGATAAATTCATTTAGGGTAGGTACCTACTTACTATTCCTGCGCAAACTAACTTTAATATATTTTGCTAACTTTAGCTTAATCCCGGAAATATCGAAAATACCGGATTATCGGTATTGGTCTAGAGCCAATACCGAAAATACCGGTTTTGCTGAAATGATTCGGTATTGCGACCCCTATAGGGGATAGAGGGCTGCGCGGTGGCTTGCCCTTGGCAGTACGCGAACTGGTGCGCGCGCGCATGCTCCAGGCTGAGAGCGCTTCGGCTCGCGTGACTTTTTTTTTATAGCGAGGTGGGCAAATGACTCTACCCCACCTGATGTTAAGTGGCGATAAAGTCCAAACGCGAAGAGATCCTCACCTTGCCGGCCTAAATCATATACGTACGAACGAAGGTAACTTGCACATTCTTAAAGTATACTTTATTACCTGTAGACTAGGTAGGGGATAGAGGGCTGCGCAGTGCCTTGTCATTGGCAGCACGCGAACTAGTGCGCGGGCGCGTGTTCCAGGCTGAGGGCACGCCGGCTCGCGTGCCATATACGTCCGAACGAAGGTAACTTGCATATTCTCAAAGTATACCTTATTACCTGTAGACTAAAGAAGGGATAGAGGTTTGCTCAGTGGCTTGACATTGGCAGCACGCGACTGGTGCGCGAGCGCGTGTTGCAGGCTGAGGGTGCGCCGGCTAGCGTGCCATATACGTCCGAACGAAGGTAGCTTGCACATTCTTAAAGTATACCTTATTACCTGTAGACTAGGTAGGGGATAGAGGGCTGCGCAGTGGCTTGCCATTGGCAGCACGCGAACTGGTGCGCAGGCGCGTGTTCCAGGCTGAGGGCGCGCCGGCTCGCGTGCCATATACGTCCGAACGTTGCGGATTTACACATTTTCTTTTGTAAAGCTGTAACAAGACATTGCATTATGTTAATAAAAACTTAATAAGTACTGTGGGTGTGTTTCTGCTAGTGAGTAGGTTTCCAGGTAATATGGTGAGGATGATTGGAGCGGCACAGTCTTAGCCTCATCATCTATCTTCGCGACTGAACTCCACTTACATTTAATATCAGGAGGGAAGGGGTAATTAGTCGCGCCTCATATTGAAAAAAACCCTAACACGTGGAGCCCTGAAAACTTATACACGGCTATCTCTAATATTTATATGACTAGTAAATTGAGACGTTATTCAATAATTTATTTTACAGCGTAGCATAATCCTTCATCCACTTATCTTGTGGTAAGTATTTGATGTGAATCAAAGTAAATCGTTATTTTTTTTATGTGGTACTCGCGTTACTAAAATTTAACAATCGGAGACTGAATTCGCCATCGCAATAACGGGGGCGCAGTCAGTGGTCACGCGACGGCATTTCGCACACAATCAATGAAAGCATTCAGTCAATTAAAGGAACATACGGCCGCAGATAACAACAGACTATTCGACAACAACGACCGCCACTATTGACGGCGCGCGGTCCCGCTCCCGGCGACAGCACGAAACGCATATTGGATTTATCACCGCACTGACCTCCAATACGATTTGATATTTATTAATAAGTATTTTACTGCCCAGAAACTTGATGACGCGCAGAGGTGAATGCGTTCTGTCTGCGATTGTGGAGGTTAAGTGACTTTCGTAAATGCATGTCTTAGGATGGGTGACAAAATATATACCAGGTATATACGCGCTTCTGAAAGACATTGACCTACAGAAGGGTCCGTTTTGATTTGTTTGTTTAGTTAGCTAGTAAATGAGAAACCTTTGCTATGTATAATACATACATGTCAAGAACTTTTATCTTTTAAAATAAACAAATATTTATTTTTAATATCAATATAGTTTAAGAATTTAACTGCCAATTTAAATCCAAAGGAAATTTTACCAAAAAATGTTCCACGCGACTAGGTAGCAGAAGGGAATCGAAGGTCGAATCCGGTCGAGTCCCGTCTCCGAGCGTGAAAATTTTGTGACTTTACAGAATAGCACTGCTGGTCCACGTGGAATTTTTTCCAGTAAATTTTCTTTACATTTAAAAATATTTTTATTATTTCTATTAAGTATCAATATTTAGATTGTGACGGACACTTCCAGTTAAGTAAAAGTTTTTATTAAGTTATATTTCAAAACATATATGTGCCTTATTTAATAATATAGAGGTCTTTGAAATGTTTAGGTTATCGTATATTTTGAACAAAACATAACTTCTTTCAGACAGGTTCTTTAACTTTCTTTACAAGATTATGTAGTATAGCTCAATTGTCAACACAAATAGGAAACGAAACAAAAGTCTTGTACTTTATTAAGAATAGTTTGACATCACGGTCGGTGTAATATCCTTCGCATTCAAGACGCTGTGTCTCATAGCAGAGACATATACTTATTAGGTCACGGTTGGAACAGGTCAGTGGTCCATCAGTGATTAATTGTCGCTTTGAACACATGATTGAGCTTGTCCCACCGCCAGCCACCTGCGTCTATTACTCTTATTAATTACATGGTTACTTAAATAACCATCGAAAGAGACACGATGAAATCCGATAAAATGTTCTGAAGGAACACCTCATTAGCAACTACAAATGAGAAAAAATCATGATCAATTTAAATTTTCTTGATAGCCTACCTACTCGGTTGAGAAGGGTCTGAGTAATTTCATGAGATTCTTGTAAAAAAACAACAATATAAGGTCTGGATTTAATCGACCAGACTTATCTACAGAAAAAAGTTGGGCAAGTTTCTAAGAAGTGATACACATCGCCTTCTTTTTGAATTGTGGCGAGTGTGAGAACGCTTGTTGAGTGGTGACGCTTTATGGTCATACCTACAACGTTGAGTGAGCGTACATATGTGGCGTATTTATTTTTGAGGAAATATTTAAATGATCAAATATTTATAGTTATTTATCTCCAAAAACTACAATTGGTTACCTAAAGGTGAGGTTAGGTTACCAATTGAATTTTTTGGAGATCAATTACTATATTTTTATTGATTATTTAAATATGTGCCTTAATTTTGTTGTATTTTTTTTGCTTTATTTCATTTGCATACATTTTCTACTTCTGTTACATTTTTCTACGTCCCGTGACGGCTCACTAAGGAGTTCATCAATTTTTTTATGATTTACACATAGAATTTCATTTAATTACAGAAAAAGTTTGTCATGGCTTCGTTACTTCTTTCTGAATTTCAAAATCAATAAAATACCTTTTTAATAAGGCTAGGGTGTACTAGAAAGAGACACGTTACAATACTTTGTTACCCACTTATTATTAATGAAATAATAAGGCATTAAAACAATGCCTCAGTTGGTGGCAATGGTCTCGGTTCATCGAAGAAAAACTGACGTGACTGACTGACTGACTGAGTGATGTGAACAAAACATTGCAATAACTAGTCTTAGCCAATAGTTAATTAGTCTTATCTTGCATTAAATGAAATTTAAAACAAGAAAACAAGATCCTGTTAAAAGATGATTCTACATCTATCTCACATTTAATATAAAAGCGTGTTAAAATAGACGAGTCCCGAACATGATTTCGGAAACCATTTTCCCAATTTCTAATTCTCATCAATTAACCTATACAGACCAATGAACGTTTGACCAACTATTCATCATTTGTATTTCCTGTTGTTCAACGAATGAATAAGTATCGATCAGGTGCCTGGCGCTTCGCCGGTCACTGCCGTGGCACGCTCGTTTCGCTCGCTCGTTTAGCACTAACCTAACCTGCTAACCACAAATACATGGTAATACAGTCTATAATATATATTGTGAATTGAAGGAAATTCAAACGATGAGTCAGTCATACGTGCATTGGTGCATTGGTTTGTAGGTCATTCGGTGAGGATTTATAAAAGTGTAATATTTTTATGGGATCTGTAAGTTAGTAAAATGGTATTAGAAATCATGTGTTTTGTACCCATTGTTCCCTAAAAGGTCCTTTAGGCTCTTTTTATTTACATGTGTGCACGTATATGTCAAGATCAAGGACGGATTTAAGAGAGGAGGCGGGCACTGTTTTTTTATATACTAACGTTCTCGGCTGATTCCTCCATGATCTTTATCACTAAAAAGTTGATTTTCATACATTAAATAATATTTTACTCATTCTATGTCTTCCTTTTTTCGATAAAACTTCTGTTTTCAAGATTTTTGTATCGCACGATATTTCCCAATGCGTGACAGCAATAGTTTTTTCAAATACCTATTTCTCGAAAGTTTCACAGCTCGCGTCCGCTCTTAACCTGCCTTAAGAGCGGACGCGAGCTGAGAAACTTTTGAAAGCAGGCACGGTTGTGGCCCCACAAAAGGAGAAAAACCAAATTAAGACTGTCAGTCCCAATCATTAGCGTAGGGGGTTGCAAATAATTAGTGGCCGGGGCGCCAGGCAGTGTTGCCAGGTCCGATTTTTCAAAATTAGGGGGGGCGTTATAGAAAAAAGCAGTAGATGTAGGTATGGAAAGAGCTGCAAGAAAAAACAGTAGATGCAGAGGCGCACTTTTTCCGATTTGCACCCCCCTAGAATTGGTAAATCGAATCACGGTATGGGCCAGTAATTTATGTAGAAAACAGTAGAACAGGAGAAATTTCAGAAATACTGGAGATCTCCGGTAAAATCGGGAGACCTGGCAACACTGGTGCCAGGGGCCTCTACTCCTTTGTTTCCCCAGGGCTTCCACACCTCTAAATGCGGTCCTGACTGACATTCATGTAAATATGGAAAATAATAGTATACTGAGTGTTGAATTTCAGTGGTGTATAGGTATATTATCATGATTTGCCGTACAAAATTGCTCCCCCATCCATACATAATATCTAACCTATAATGTTGTTACTATGTGAGGTGACGTCTACTCATTCATGATTGAAATAAAAGAACGGAAGATGATGGCGTTTAGATAAACACACAAGGTTATCAACAGCGTGAATTGATCTGTATTTTATTGTTATGCTTACAAAAAGGACACACCTAATAATATATTTATAGATAGGGGAATGAACTATAATAAAAAATATTTTCAATAATTAATTAGTGTTATATACTTACAGCAAAGTGGCAAAAATACGGGTAATATTGGTTGATTTAAAAGGGCTATCCAAAAGTTTTTTATAAGTTATTTATAAAGCGTATGGCGCTCTTAATACTAATAAAAAAAATACTAGAGATAAAATCAAATATACGTAAGTGTAAATCCTTAATATTGTGAAATTGTTTCTTTGTTTGTTACGCTTCTAGGCGTGACCTAGACCACTGAAACGATTATGCAGAATTTTGGTATAGAGATAAATGGGCCGTGGAGAAGGTTATAGGCTGGTTTTTGTCTGGACTTAAAACTAGAAGAGTCCTTTTATTTTTATTTTTTAAGCATTTAACTGCTAGATGTTTATATCTAAAGAATATTAAAAGAGTCCTGCGAAAAGTCCTGCGCTCTCCGCATCCAGTAACAAACCCCCTGAAATTTTGTATGGGAAACCAATTAAACTACGCAGACAGATTCACGGGCACCCGCTAGTAATATCACTTAAATATTATTAGATTGGGTGTAAAAGAAAAGTTTTTTACAAAACGCAGTCAATCATCCTACCACATAATCGTGTTAATCGTTTTCCCAAAAGTTGACTGGCAAAGAATGCGTTAAGTCCGTCTTTTAAACCATTTTCTTATATTGGTGAATAAACTTTGTTATATAAATAAAATAAATAATAATTAGTGAGGCTAGTCGCTCAGTCAGCTATGAAGAAAGCTGATGCGACAGAAACGAGTGAAGTACCTACTCCAAGCACTAAAAACTCCGAACAAATTGACGACCTCCGTGGCCGAGTGGTTTGTACGCCGGGTTTCATGGTGTCGCCGACTCGAGAGGTCCCGGATTCAAATCCCGGTGGGGGCAGATGTTTGTGTGAT